TTCAGGCTGGGCTCTGGGGCCAGATGCTCTGGGTTCGAACCCGGGTTTGCCGCTTTGTACATGTGGGGCCTCAAACATACTTTTTGTTTGTTTGTTTTCCTTTTTAAAATTTGTTTATTGTCAAGTTAGCTAACCTACAGTGTAGTCTCGGCTTCGGGAGTAGATTCCCACGATTCATCACTTACATACAACACCCAGTGCTCATCCCAACAGGTGCCCTCCTCACTGAGTCTCCAATTCCCTTTTCGCTAAAGTTGTAATGGGAACAATGGGAATGATAGTCAAATGGCAGGCAAGTTACTTACCTTCCCTGTTCAATTTCCTCATCTCTAAAAGGAGGATACTAATGGTCATGCAGGTAACTGCCATGTTAAAGCACTAGATGCATCGATTAATTTGAACATTTAATGATTACCTGCTAGGTTCACACCACTAGGTTGGGTTGTTTTCCCACCAGATAAGACTCTTCCCGGTATAAAACACATAGCACATAAGATGCTTCCAAGCTTATAATACTGGGCACACTAATAACTGTGGCCCCTGTGGACGGTCTTCTCTGTGCCCCCAGGGCCATATGCGCATCTTCCCACCAGCTCTCCAGCACAGCCTCCAGGGAGAGGAAACAGCACTGGGCAGAGGAGGTGATCAGTCACCAGTATAGGATTTGAACTCAGGGCTTCTTGCCTCCAAAGTGCATGCTCATTGCCACCTTCTGGTGGGTGTACAGCTTAGCCCAGTGCTGGCCAGAGCCACATTTCACTAAATGTGCATCTCTTCCTTGATTTTTTCTTTATTGAGATGGTGTCATAGCCATTCGGTTAGAAAACTCACGAGTAACCAGACAGCCCAGCCCGTGAGTGCCCTGCCCTGGGCAAGGTCTGTGCATCTTAGTGACTAGATTCAGAGGCAGCACTGGGCACTCTTTGCCTTTTTTTTTTTTTTCTTTTCCCTCTCTCTTATCTCTCTTGCCAGATCCTGACCTTTGTCAGGATTTTATTTTGTTCATTGTCTGTGGAAATTCCCTAAATAGACTAACTGTGACCTCCACTCAACCCCCATTAGGATAAACCTGTAACTTAGGAAGTCATCTCATTGATTGATCGGCAGGGTCTCCGAATCTGTCCATGCCGTCTGCCATGTAGGCATCTTAAGATGCGCACACGGTCTCCCGGACCTCGTGTAAAAGGCTGGTGGCCATCAACCCCGTCACAGACTGGACAAAGAAAGGGCCATTTTGTTTGGTTCATAGGAAACAGGAGGAGTAGAGGAGTCTGCCTGGGCTTTTAAAATAAAATGTGGGTGTGTGCGTGTACGTTAATGACCCGAGAGATATGGGTTCAATTTGGAGAACTCAGAAACCCCAGGAAAACACAAAGGAAAAAAACTAAAAAAAAAAAAAAAAAAAAAAAAAAATCATCGATAATCTGCTTTACCCAGAAATAATCATTGTTGACAATTTTTTTTAACATTTTATTTATTTTCAAGAGACAGAGCATGAGCAGGGGAGGGACAGAGAGCAAGGAAGACACAGAATCTGAAGCAGGCTCTGGGCTCTGAGCTCTGAGCTGTCAGCACAGAACCTGACGTGGGGCTCGAACTCACGAACTGTGAGATCATGCCCTCAGCCAAAGCTGGACGCTTAACCGACTGAGCCACCCAGGGGCCCCACTATTGACACTTTGATTGCTGTCTTTCCAGTCCCCTGTGTGCCTGTAAATTTGTATTGGGAATTTTCTACAAAACTGCCATTCTGAACGTAATTTTGAGTCTGTTTCACCAGTGTATCATGACTGATAAATAGTTCTAGAACGTGATTTTTGATGATTGCATGCTACGTCATAGCAAAGAGATGCATGATTTATTTAACTAATTTCTTCTTGTTGGACAGTTCGTTTTTAAACATTGTCCATATTGCCGCTTTAGACAGGGTGCCCTTGCACATTAATCTGTAAGCACATCTCTAAAAATTATTTGGGCTGCCTTTCCAGAGGTGGCATTGGCTCAGGGTATAGGCAGATTTTTTAAGGCTTTGGTAGCTGTTGCCAGATTGTTCTTGGGGAAGAGTTTCTTATTTTACAGTCCCATCTACCAACCTTAGCAATATATGATATGCTTCATTTTTCCCCAGCTTGCCAGCCCTGGATATTATATTTCTTTTCCATTTTTGCCAATCTGATAGACAAAAAAGTATCCTGTTTTAATTTGTATAAATAGCGAAGTTGGAACTTCCTTGCATGTTTATTGTTTGTATAGCTGTGTATACACATAAGGTAATTCATAATAAATAGCATATAGCATAATGTTATAAACATATAATGTATAATGTATTATATATGTATATGACATATGTACATTTGGTTTTTTGGTGTATACCTTATTGATTTCCTATGCCCATTTAATCATATTTCTACGTCTTCTGTTCTTTTTCTTTAAGAGGTGGTTGTTAGGAGTAGCTGTTAGATAGCTGATTGATTCACTCACCTTGAATTCAGATTCTTCAGTCTGAGGCTGAATTAAATTGGAAGCCTATCCCTTGTTAACAGAATGCACAGAAAGTGATGAGGGATAGGAATGTTAAGTGTCCTCAAGGAGAATACACCCCATCCATGTATCCACTCATAGACCAAGAAACTATTGATATATAATCAGATTTTTCTGATGGATGGATGTGCTATGGACATTGGTTCAAGACCACAAAAACTCCATTGGAAACCCATCGAGGCTCATCTTGAGTGATTACATTTATGACTCCTAGAATCTAGTTAGTTCTTCCCAAAAGAAAAAAAAAAAGAAGAATTAAGAGACCAAATTTAAAAGAACATTTGTAAAGCAATTTACTTAAATTATAAGAGACTGAAAGCCAGGCTTAGTGGATAATTGAAGAATTGCATTAAAAAGGAATCAATATCTTTCTGGAATCTGCTTTGTCCTCACTTCTGAGTTGTTTTGCAAGGGGGTGGCCATTCTGTCACTATCTTGTAAATTTTTCCTAGCGTTATCCCCAAGGACAACACTTTCTTTTCTCTCTTTGATCCTCACGTTTTTTTCCTTTTCACACAGCCTTGACTCATGGAGACATTTCGGAGCAAAGATACTGGAGATCAGGGACTTTAAGATGTCAGGTTCTGTTCCAGCCTCTGGGATCCTGGTGTTCCCAGCACTGGAGCAAAGGTTTCCTTCTTTACACAGAGCCTTTGGAGAAGGTCATACTCATAAAGAAAAGAGAGTAGAACAGTTGATTTTTTGAAATCTACTTTGTAAGGCCCCAATTAAAGGCAAATTGAAACGTTTAAAAAAAAAAACAAACTGGAAAGGAGAAAAGAAGATGCCGATTACCTCACCCTCCTAACCAGCCATCATTTCTCTGCCCTCTCCCCTGGCCTTTATTTCTGTACATTCATATTCCTCAATGGTTGGATAACCTGCTTCTGTTTATTCTTGCTTCATGCATATGTTGCTGGGTTGTTTCACGATTCTTATGTTGAGCTCTATCTCAGGGAAGGGGTCTTGGATGGGTTCCCACAGCCGCTTCGCCATCCAAATTGATTTCCCCCAGGATGATCAAAGAGGTGAGGTGGCCACAAAGAGCCAGAGCAGGTGAGCCACATGGTGGCAAGCTTCGCCCCAGATCCTGGCCTCGTGATGGGCACACAGCTGTCAGGGACACCAAAATGTTGCCAGCGTTCTTTGAGATACAGTGCGTTCTCAGAATACCACTGCCCCCTTATGTCAACATTCCAGAAGAGTATAAACTACCACTTTTTGAACTTTTATTTAAGGGAATGTTTTTAAATAACATGATTCTTAGACCAAAGTTAGCAGCAACAAAGTATTTCTGGGGCGTGGAGGAAGAGAATAGAATGAGAAAGCAGAGTTATTGCCCAAGCATCTGTGAAAAATATCCCTGCCTCCAACTCTGTGTATAAGCTGTCTGATCCTTGAGACATACTTCAGCATTCATTCGTTCACTTGGCAATTGTTTTATTGAGCTCCTCCTATATGATTGGTGTGGTTTAACATCCTCTTCGAATTTTACACATCCTACTTACTTTCTTGTTAATATATTTGTAATTAATATTTTTTCCTACTTCGGAAATAATCGAATGATTTAACCTAAAAGGTACATCATGAAAAAGGCAGAGAGATCAGAAACCATATTGGAAAGTGTGTGTGTGTGTGTGTGTGTGTCTGTGTGTGTGTGTGTGTGTCTGTGTGTGTGTGTGTGTGTGTGTGTGTATGTGTGTTGCCTTTAATAGGAATAGTATTTCATATTTAAATGGAAGTGTGAGCCTCCTAGCAACCAAAGCAAAAAGGGATATCCATGCATTGTTTAGATTCCACTGGAGAATTTCATAGGTATTTCAGAAGAGGCAAAATGCTTCCTTGGCAGTCAATCTTAAAAGGAAGGCAATGAAAAGAAAATAAAGGAAGGCAATTAATTTCAGGAGGAAGGCAATTTCAATTGTACTTGTTCACAGTCTTTCATTTATTTTTATTTTTTTTAATCTTTATTTTTGAGAGTGAGAGAAAGAGAGAGTGAGTAGGCAAGGGGCAGAGAGAGAAGGAGACACAGAATCTGAAGCAGGCTCCAGGATGTCAGCATAGAGCCTGACATAGGGCTTGAACTCATGATCCGCAGGATCATGACCTAAGCCAAAGTCAGACGCTTAACCAACTAAGCCACCCAGGCGCCTCCTTTCATTGTCTCTCATTTTATGTGGAATCACCCATGATGTCCCATCTTTCGTATCTGTTGACACATCTGTGACCCAAACAGAAGAATCCCCTGACTTCTGTATCTACTGAGAAGTATATAAATAAAACAATCACCATGTAAGTATGTTGAGATACGTAGTTTGAGAGATAGGGAGCAGAAGTGCCACTAATGTGGAGCATTTGATGCTGGAAGCAAGGCCAGTGGATGGACAGGAGACGAGGCCGGCCAGGCAGCAGGGCCAGCTGCACAGGCCTGAGACACACTGCGAGGAGTTGGCATTTTACATCAGAAACGATGGGAGAGGCTGGGCAGGGAAGGGGTAGGGTCCGCTTGCATTTTAAAAGGATGTCCTGGCTGCTCAGCAGAGACTGATTTTCGAGGCTGCGAAGCTGTTGCAGTTAGTGGGCCCTGTAAGAGGTAATTAACACAGATAAAAATGTGATGCAGAGAGAAGGAGGTCTGAAGACAGGGCTAATTAGGGCTTTGCTTTCTCATGACATTAGAAGACGCCCCTGGGGCAGAGAGTCCGCACCATTAACTTCTGTCCTCCCTCAAAGTGGGGCTGAATCCGGAGGGTCTTTCTAGCCCACATGGCCGTCCCTGGCACCAGCTCAGGGTTCAAGAGTTCAGGGGCTCTCAGTTGTTCAAAGCCTGCAAGTCCCACATCCCCTCCTCAGACCCTCTCCTTGTCCGTCTTGCGAGGCCAAGACAGAGGGTTGGCCTTGTGCATCGGAACCCCCTAGCACTGCTGGTGAGAGAGGCACAGGTTTGGAAAGTCCGAGATTCAAATCCAAGTCCTGCCTCTTGTCCTCTTTGTGACCTTGCATGAGACACGCCCCCACCTAGACTCTCTTTCCTCATCCATGCAATGGGAAGAATAAAATGTGTGACCATCCCTGTAATTTGGCTATTACCAATAGTATTAGCCACGTTTGTTGGCACCTGCTACACACCATCCTGAATGCTACGTGCTTTGTGTACATTGTCTCGTCAGCCCTCATTTTGTCCCCAGAGCAGCTCCGTAAGACTAGGCATTAGTAGCCCCTTTCAACAGGTGACAGAGCTGGAGCCCGAGGGCTTAAGTAAATTGTCTACAGTCTCAGAGCCAGGAAGAGATAGAACTTTATTTGGGAATGGCTTTCTAGTGGGTATACCTTTCACTGAAAAACTCTTGGGGGTGGGAGATCCTCACCCTAAGATATCTTTTCATGTTAGTGCCTTGCCGTTCTCTACTTTCCAGATGCAGTTGGAAAATAGAGCCAAGGTTTGCCTTAACTGGGAGATCTCTGGGGCCTGTGGAAGAAAGCATGCAGGAGAGTGGGTCCCTGCACCAGAGTGAGCTCTACTTTTGGAAAAGTACTTTGGAAAGCCCCATCCAGTCCCATCCACAGCCCCTGGGGACGAGGGATCTCAGGCCTTCTATAGGCACAGATGTCATAGTGCTGCCCCCTGCAGGTGCTTGTAGGAACTACAACAGGGAGGGACGTAGCTGCCTATGAAAAAGGATGCACTGCCCCCTGCCTCAAGGATTCCACTCATCTCCGATCTAGAGAATTAGACACACGTGTGCTTCAAGATGCATGAAAAAGTATGTTATCGCAGCTTTGTTTGCACTGGCAAAAAGTGAGAAACAACTGTGCAACAATAGAGGAGTGAGAATTCAGCGGTGGTGCATCTCTGCCAGGGAATGTGCCGTTGTGCAGAAAGAAATGAGCTTAAGGTCATTGAACTGGCGAGGAAAGATCCTCCAAACACATCTTTTTAGCTGGAAAAAAAACACGCTGACGAAAAGTTCAGCGTAAGTCAGTTTATGTAAACATCACTCAACAGTAGTCTTGTACGTGTACATCCGCATGTGTATGAAATGCACAGAACATTCGGGAGGAACGCACAGTGGTCATCATGGATGCTGGGATGAGACTTCCCCTCTAGATTCCCTATAATAATCCTGCCTAACCCCTTGCAGCCCTGACCTGTGTTCCAGGCACTAAACACTTCATGGGCACAAACTCATTATCTTCAGAACCACCCTGTGGTAAAATACCACTCTTCACGGAAGCTGGGGCACGGACTGGTGACCTGCCCAGGGTTGCCATTGGCAGGTGGCAGAGCCGGGAGGGGAGTCTCTGTAGCCTGGCTCTGGAGCTGTGGGTCCCAGCCACCCTTTTGCTGGTCTCATCAAATTCCACGTGTGCTGTGCCCGAGGTGTGTGTGCTCACGTGAGCGTGGAGAAGCACGATAAGGCTGCCTGAGCCGTGGTCTAGGACACTGATCTTTCCGCGGCCTCATTTGAACAGATTCCCTGGGGCTGCGTGGCATTTCGAAAGCTCAATAAATACCTTGTTGGAAGAGGTTATAAAGAAAACAGAGCATGCAGTGGGCCTCTAGGAATGTATTTTGCTGCTGAAGAGACAGGATGTATGAAGGTGATACAGCGTCTGTCGTGTACGTGGCAACGAAAACGTCGAAGTGCGCTGGGCGCTCTTGGAGGAGGAGAGTCGGTCGCGAGCCAGAGAGGTTTCCTGGAGGTGTGGGGAAACGGGCTGAATGTCAAAGGCAGGGCAGATAGGAAGAAGCGTGGATTAAAGGAAGATGAGGGAGGTTGTGAGAGGGAGGCTAGAGCTGCTGGTGTATTTGTGTCCACGTAGATGAGAACTTGAGAGAATTCTGGGGTTTGTGTTTGGGAGAAGGAGCTGGGAAACTCAGGAAGAAAACTCACATTTAGTACCTACTATGTGCCAGGTGCTATATACTATATGTAGACACTCTTTGTTATCTTTTTTTGAGGTTTTATTTATTTAAATAATCTCTACACCCGACACGGAGCTCAAACTCACGGCCAGAGATCAAGAGTCACATGCTCCTCTGACTGAGTCAGCCATGCACCCCTACATTATCTTAATAATGCTTACCATAGTTGCATTTTATTTTTTAAATAGTTTTTTTTAATTTTTTCTTTAATCTTTATTTTTGAGAGAGAGAGAGACAGCGTATGAGCAGGGGAGGAGTAGAGAGAGAGGGAGACACAGAATCTGAAGCAGGCTCTAGGCTCCGAGCTGTCAGCATGGAGCCTGATGCAGGGCTTGAACTCACAAACAGTGAGATCATGACCTGAGCTGAAGTCAGACACTTAACCGACTGAGCCACCCAGGTGCCCCAGTAGTTGCATTTTAAATGCAGAAACAAGCAGCTCAGCCAACTAAGTATCTTGATTTCACCTCAGGTCATGATCTTAGGGTTTGTGGGCTCAAGCCCCTCGTGGAGCCTGCTTGGGATCTCTCTCTTTGATCCCCTGCTTGGGATCTCAGTGCAGAGCCTGCAGGGTTCTCTCTTTCCCCCTCTTTCTCTGTCCCTCCCCCTCCATCTCAAAATAAATAAATAAACTTAAAAAAAATAATAAATGCAGGAACAGGCACAGAGAGGTAAGGTACTTTGCTGTGTCACACAGCAAGTCAACAGCAGAGTCGGGGTTGGTGCCCAGTGAGTCTGAACCCAAAGCCCCGGCTGACCAAGGTGGGGTCAGGAAGAGCAGGCACGCATCCTCCTTTTCTCTCTTCCTGATGATGAACCTGAACCTGGGTCTTAGACCAGCTCCCACTCCGGAGGTGGGGCATTTCTGTCCCTTAGAAGAGAAAACCTTGCCCCTCGAGGTCTGTGTCCTGAGATAAGCTGCATGACTCACTGTGATGTGCCCTTACTTGAGACTGTTCTAGAAGACTTCCTTTGTACATGCCCCTGAGGACAGTAGTCTGATTGTCCTGTGACCTTGTGGTCCAGTTCACACTTGCACTTTAGGGTGTGTTTTTGAACCCAAGATCATACACACATCTGCCGTGTTAACACACAACCCTTGGTCCCCTCACACTGTGACCATCTCCAGTCTATTTCTCTGTTCTCTGCTGAGCGGAGAATCGCGTCGCTTGGTCTGTGATGTTGGGGTTTGATAGTCAGCTCTGAAGAGCTGAGTGAGGCAAATTTGCCTCCTGAGAGCATTAATCCAAGTAGCAAGTTATTAAGTTTGAAGACATACACATATAATTTACATTTCCAGAATCATAACACGCTGCCTCCACAGTCATCTGGTGATGGATAGTATCTGAGCCACGCCATCTGCTGGGTCAGATGGAGATTTCGCTATGATCTGACTCGCAAGCCCCAGGTCAAGTTTTACCAGCAAACGCATGGTGACAAGTGTGGGAGGAGAGTGCTCTCATGCCCTGCTGCTTATGGTGGACTCTCCCCAGATCTCACTTTTTTTTTTTTTTTCTTTTTAGCCACAGCTCCTTGAACTCTTCGGTAACAGGCACGGTGCTGTCGGGCTCCTCTTTCTAAAGAGAGAGTGGCATTATGATCTTCATTTGATAGGAGAGAAACAGATGAACAGAGAGGTTCGGGAACTTGTGTGGGGTGACACACCTAATGAGCAGTTGGTTCAGGAGACTGGCTGATTCTGGGGGTCGCCACGCAGGAGAGGGACATGGCTGACAGTCCCCAACTGGCACAGGCAGAGCCTGCGGGTTGCTTTAAGTCAGGTGTCGCACAGGACTTACCACCGGCGGGCGGCACCTGCCAGATCAGACACACACAGCCACCGTCTCACTGGAGACCGTCTCCCCAGCCCTCAGGTCCCTTGGGAGGTCCCCTGCTGCCGATGACAGTGCTGAGGTGCAGTGTGCATCCTGCCACACCGGATGCTCCATCTGTCCTTCTGGTGTTTTCTTAAACCCTCGTGGTCCCTTCCAACTGGTAGGGAGCCTCAGAGCCCCCAGGCTAACGATCTGGTTCAAGGACCTGGGAGCAACCTCAGCCAGCGCAGTCATGAGTACTTACTCCTTAAACGGGGCGTGCTGAGGGCGGGGCTCTGTCCCTGCATCTCTCTGTGGCCATGACTCATGACCGTCACGTGGGTGAATACAACCTTTTCTTCTAGAATGTAGCCACTAACCAGAAGACATTAAAGTTTAATACTGGGGCAGGACTTCAGCAATTAGTGAGTTCAGCCTGCTCGCGGCCGGTTGGCAAAACCGAGGCTCAGTGAGAGGAGACATAGCCCCCGACCACCCAGGACCAGCCAGCAAGCCAGTGGTGCAACGGGGACATGCCTGGGTCTCTGTTTCACAGCAGGAGCTCTTTCTAATTTCCTCTGCCCCCTAAGCTGCTTGCTGTGGAGGTTCACTGTGGCCAGAGAATCTGCTAGTTCTTTTGTGAGACGAATGGCCTGGTGCACCTGAGGTGGTGATGGCAGTGCATGTGGGGAGCAGGTGCACAGCTTAGCCGGGGAGCACTCATCAGCCAGCTTTCTTTAGGAATTCACTTCTCGGTTCAAAGCCACTCTATTTAAAAAAAAAAAACACAACTTTTTTTGACATTTATTTATGTTTGAGAGACAGACAGAGTGAGAGTGGAGGGGTAGGGGCAGAGAGAGAGGGAGACACAGAATCCCAAGCAGGCTCCAGTCTCCCAGCTGTCAGCACAGAGCCCGATGTGGGGCTCGAACCCACGAACCGTGAGATCATGACCTGAACCAAAGCTGGGTGCCCAGCTGACTGAGCCACCCAGACGCTCCTTCAAAGCCACTCTTAAAAACAAGCAAGTGGTTGGTTGTAAAAATGGAGACAAAGAGGCCTTAAGAAGACAGAAACCAGCTTCTCAGACCATCCTCCACCCTCTTGCCTTCCCCGCATGACACATTCAGGTTTTATTTTTTAAAAAAAAATTTTTTTTTCAACGTTTATTTATTTTTGGGACAGAGAGAGACAGAGCATGAACGGGGGAGGGGCAGAGAGAGAGGGAGACACAGAATCGGAAACAGGCTCCAGGCTCTGAGCCATCAGCCCAGAGCCCGACGCGGGGCTCGAACTCACGGACCGCGAGATCGTGACCTGGCTGAAGTCGGACGCTTAACCGACTGCGCCACCCAGGCGCCCTGACACATTCAGGTTTTAGCTAAAAAGGGCAGTGGGTGGAGCTGTTCGTGCAGCTTCCAATGGTCACTGCACCCAGACCATATTCCGAGAGCCTGTTCAGATGTCACGAGTGCTGTTTCAGGAATCTTGTTTTTGTTCGGTTTTACCAGAAAAAAATAAAGAAGGCAGCAGTGGAGGATGATACTCTTGTTCTCCCGGACCCACTGGAAGCCCACATTTACCCAAAAGGCCAACATCAGAGGTTCTGGGATGGTCGAAGCTTGAGTGGCCATCAGATCTTCTGGCCCCACAGTCTTGTGATGGGGAAACTGAGGTTCATAGGGGAGGGGGCTTGCCCAGGGCTGGCTTCCTGGAACTTGGCTGTGTTTTTTGTATTTGTGCCCTCTCTGTCCCTTCCCATGTTGGGATCCCAGGGTCCCCTTTTGTAAACCACTGGAGGCAGGCAGCGCAGGAGACTCGGTGACCGCCCCCTAGACCCTCCCCCGTGCCAGCTCTCTGTGGCATTCTCATCAAAGGCATTAACCTCCTCTCCGTTCTCAAGGTTGCTGCTTGCCTATTTATAGAACTGACCAAGAGAATTCCACTCTTGCCAGAGGTACAGAACACATATCGTGCTCCACGCCTCCCCCCCTTCTCGTGTAAGTCCCTGGACAAAGCTTTTCTGCACCTGGTTTCCCTTCTCGATGCAGACGCTCCGGAAAGAGAGGCGAGCGGGAGCTCTAGCCCCTTGCAGAGCTCCTACTGTGTGCAAAGGCTCCAGACCTCATGCACATGGTCTCATTGAATCCCCGCGGACCCTGAGAAGTGGGTATTGTTCTTTCATGGCGCTGCTTGGAAAGAGGAGGTGCCGGCCCAAGGACTCATGACTAACAAGTGAGAGACAAATGGCTTCAGTGCGGTTCTGCAGTTTCTGTTCCTTTCCCTTGCATTTCTGATTCTGGCCCAGTCGTCTACATCAGACGAGTGAGGTGGCCGCAGGACAGTGCCTGTGCGTATGACGGTTTCTTCTGGGCCCACATATGCACTTTCTCACCCCGTCAGGTCAACCAGGCTTTTCTGAGGCCCTGCTGAGCGAAGCAGGCTGCAAGAGCCATGAGGATGTGCCCACTTGTTCTCTGTGGGCCTGGCACACGGTAGGCCCTCAGTCAACGCTTGTGGAGCGAATGGTGGGGCTCACAAGTGAATGGTAGGCCCGGCCTCACGGTGTGTCAGGGGAGGGAGCAGAGAAGAGGCAGGCCAGTTGGACCGGCCCCCAGCCAGCAGCGCCCTGGTGGAGGAGGGAGCCCTGGGCAGGGGAGAGGGGTCAGGAAGGCAAGGTGGCCTCAGAGGCTCCTCCTGAGGCAGCTCCTGCCCTGCGACCCTCCCCCCGCCACTGCTCCCCAGAAGCCTGCTTGCTTGCCAGCCTCTCCATCCTGCCCCCTAGAATTTAACACAGGTTTTATCCTCCCAGCTGTTCTGTCAGGGGAGTCCCGGGGAATGCTAAAAGAGCACGAAATCTCTCCCTGCTCATCTTCTCAGAAATCTTTTTTAAAAGCAGCCTTTTGGACAGTTGCCATCCTCTCATTATGCCTCCACCAGGGACTGGCATTTAGCTGTGGAATTGAGGGACCTGGAACCTCCCGGCCTAACCTTCCTCCTCCAGCAGAGGCTGTCCCGCCAGGGCTCCCTGCTGTGCTGGAACGCTCTTTTCTTGGCCCCCTTTGTCCAGAGTACTGGCGAGTCTGCAGAATGCAGTACGGGGCCCATCCGGGCAAGCTTGGGGGGGGCGGTCAGAAAGCGAAGAACTCCGCTCCCCCTTTTCGGACTTTCTATCAAAAGCAACGTATCCTCATTCTGGAACTTGCAGGGAATATTGAGAAACGGGAAGGACTGAATAATAACCGCCCATAATCCTGCCGCCTAGAGAGACACACAATTGGCATTTTGGCACCATTACTCCTGTGTGATTTTTATCTTAACATAACTGCGGTCATACGGTAAGATACAATTCGTGTCCTTTCGGCCCCATCTCGCAGTACAACAGGTCACATATCCACAGCATTACAAACTCTCTGTGATACTTTTAGAACGTGGTTGTAATGCCAGCATGGGCTCCGTATGTGCAGGTTACTGTCAGTTTGCTCACACAGCCCCCCAGTTGCAGGGTTTGCTGTTAATCCGGGTGCTAAGTGACTGTCCCTGCATAAACGGCTTCATCTCAGCTCCACGTGTGCTGTGGAAAAGGAGGACGGCCAGTCTCAGCTTCCACCCTGGGCACAGAGTCGAGGCTCACCTCTCCATGTGGTGGTTCCATCCCCAGATCAGAAAATGTGGAATGAAGTTGGTATCCACGCTCAAAACTAGTTGCTGTGGAAAAGGAGGCCCTTGCTAGCTATGTGGACAGGTGGTTTCCCTCTGTTTCTTCATCGGAGTAATGGGCCTCTCTCCCAAGAAGATTGGATTCCATGAGGATTTCAGGAGATAAAAGCATGTGGGGCACAGAACAGGGTGTTTTGCACAGACAGGCTCTTTATAAATGTTTAGCTCTCATTATCCACAGTTTTATCTCTTGACTGTCTTGTCGGGGTCCTTAAGACCACCGCCCGGGTTCCGTGAGGGCTCACACGTTCAGCGTATAGTTGTGCTTGTGGCTAAGATTTATTACAGCAAAAGGATACACAGCAAAATGAACACAGGGAGCAGGTGCAGGGGGCAAAGCCTGTAGGAAACCAGGCACAAGCTTCTGAGTCTCCCTTTGCTGAAGGATGAGCACGGAATGAGCTGTGAAATGTTGTCTCCCCGGATGCTCATAGAGACTCAGTGTCAGGGTTTTTATTGGGGTCTGGTCACATAGGTCCCCTCTGCCTGGACCCACATTCCAGAACCCCCCTCTCTCCCCATAGTTTGCAAGTAGCCCAGGCATGGTGAGCCAGCCTTATCCATTAGGGAATAGGAGGAACACTCAGAATCCAGGTTCCCAGATGCCAGCCAAGCAGGGCTTCCTAAGGATGCAGTGTTCAGCCTGCTGTGTTAACTCTTCTGCACAGCTGTGCTGAGAGATCGTATTTCTTATGTTTGGACCACTTCAAGGCAGGGGTGGGACAGATGTCTCCATAGGACAAAAACCAAGAGCTAGAGAAAAAAAAAAAAAGGGTCTCGGGGGTTGGCCTCCTCCTCCATGCATGGGGTCCTGAGAGAAGTAAGTTCTGGGTGTGGGGAGGGTGGGCCCTCACTGCCCCCCTTCCTGCTGACTCACATCTCTCTCTCTCTCTCTCTCTCTCTCTCTCTCTCTCTCTCTCTTTAGGCTCTGAAGGGCTCCAAGAAGCTGGTGCTGTCTGTGTACTCAGCGGGGCGCATCCCCGGGGGCTATGTCACCAACCACATCTACACCTGGGTGGACCCCCAGGGCCGCAGCATCTCCCCGCCCTCAGGCCTGCCCCAGACCCACGGCAGCACCCTGAGGCAGTGCGAGGGTGACTCGAGGAGCACCCTGAACCTCCTGCAAGGCGGGGATGAGAAAAAGGTGAGCTGCCCGGTGATGGCCCCGGCAAGCCGGCTGGGCATGGAGGGCCGGTGGGGGAGGCTGGCCCCCTCGAAACCCCGTTCTCCTGACCAGACCCAGAACAGGGAAGCTTCTCGGAGGCTGGACACAGGAGCTTGGTTCTCTCGAGTCTCTGTCCTCCTCTCAAGCCCCCTGAAGGGTTTCATCGTGTTTTCTTCTCTTTTTGACCTGTGCAGTGTATATTCTGACGCAGGCTAAGATCCTGCAACCAAGGAGCCCAAAGACTGTGACTTAAATGGGATCCTTTATTTCTCCCTGACACAGAACAGAGGGGACAGTCTGGCCGGGTGCCGCAGCTCTGCTCCACGTCTTATTCCGGGACCCAGATTCCCTCCATCGTCACCCTCTGAGGGCTTGGCCCTTCTGATGGTTGCAGCTGCCCCACCCTAGCCCCTGGAGCGGAAACGGGAGGAGAGACAGCTCAGACAGTTTCAGTTAGACACAGTTTAACTTCTCAGTGGTCCAGACCCAGGCGCGTGGGCACAGGCAGCTGCCAGGACTCTAGGCTCCGCAGGACGCCATTTGCAGCTGTGGGTCTTGGGTTGTAAAGAACAGAAGCTGGTGCTGGTCACCTTGTACAGAGCGAGTATTTACTGGAAGGATGTGGGCAGGGACTCAGGGTGTAGCCTCCCGGAGGGAAGGGATTCCCACTAGGTCAGTGCTCTGCCTCCTTCCCCTGCAGATGAGTAGCCCAGGGAGGGAGCGCCTGATTGGCTGCTGGGGAGGGCGGGGCACTTTGACTGACAGGACCACCAAGAGTGTGGCAGGTGGTGGCAGGATGGTTGCCCAGAAGAAGGGGAGCAGGGGCATCAACAGAGGCC